ACGTAAGTCCTCAATGAGGCCGTCGAAGTCCAACTGACGCTCACGACTGTCCCAATACCTATAGGTGCGGATATCCTCAAAGCCAGCCCTCGTGAGTATCAGCCTATGGTTTGCTATTAATTTAAATTTAAAAATTATTTATTTACATATTTGTATAAATTTATAAGGTTTAGCATACGATAGCAGGGTGAAGTTAGATAGATTGTTTTAAATCCACAATTATGTCGCAAAAAATCTGCGCCAACCCTTAGAGCTCCCGTTCCCGATAGGGTTTGCACTCCAAATGTCTATTCAATGGTTGATAAATTATTTTATGATAGCTTATAATTTTTCACATAAATTGTTAACTCTATTCTCAGCGATGGCTTTGCATTGGTTTCCTAAGAGTAGTTTAGTGACAGACTCGGAGAATCGATTGTCACCCAATTGTCCCAGATATTCGTGATTATAGCCATCAGTATTGGCCAATGTTTGCTCCACTTTGTGCACCACTGGTAATAGCCATGGCTTTCCTTCGTCCGATCGATAGGCTATCAATTGATTCAATTAAATAAATTCAGTCGAGAGAGAGAGAGAGAGAGAGAGAGGACATACTGCCAATAATAAGGTCCACTTTATTGTGATTATTGTCGGCCCTATAAGCCCTCTGTAAGGCAAAGAACTCAATGGGCTCTACACTATCCACACAATCAAATCGAGACATATTTCACAATTAAGTTAATAATAATGTTATTTAAATTGTTAAAATAGTTTTCTAATAACAAACTAATTATATGTATTAATTGTAATAATTATTTAAAACAGTTCAGAATTATACTACTAAACTACTTAAACTGATTTTCAGAGAATAATTTTTATATATCTGTCATTTTAACATAAACATTTAAGTTAGAGATTACACTACAAGGTTTTAAAAAATAAAAACAATTAGTAGATAATATTGCATTGATTTTAACAACAATTATTATGTTATAAGTAATTTTTAAGTAGTAATATTTTCTGATATTTACCATAATAAAAATAGTTTAAATAAAATTCACATTATGTGTTTATTAAAATAAATATTAGATTTACATAAATCATTACAAAGATTTTACTATTAAAATATTTATATTACTCTAAACAGATGATAATAATTTTAGTTTACAAAACTCATTTTCAAATCATGTTAAATAAATAGATTACAATAAAACTTATTATATTCTCATTCATTTATTAAATATTAAAATATGGGTTCAAAACAAATACACATTATTGATAGACAGTATCCTATTAATAATGGCAAAAATACAACTCTAAACATTTCATCCAAATTTAAATTAAATGTTTGATCTTGAACAGAATATTCATTGAATTGGAAAACTCTTTCATAGAGAATATGTACTGCATTAGCCTTTCCCATCATACCAGTGTAAGTATCATAGATATATTTATGATGAATATGTAGCCCACTTTCCAAACATCGTTTTATACTAAAATAAAAGCAACTTTTAATTAAATTTTCACTATTATTTACATAATTATAATTACGCTAAAATAATTTGTCGACTAAACGGCATATTTTTGATTACAATAATGCCCTTTAACATTTTGGCAATATTCATATCCACGGCTATAATATTTAATTTGGGGAACAGTTGCTGAAGTTTCCTGATGCTATCGGCATTACAGATATTGACCACAACACCTGAGATTATATATTTGATCACATCCAGAGAATGATAATCTTTTATTTTATTAATAAAATTTTGATAAATTATATGTTTATTGTATAAAATCTTNTATCTGTAATGCCGATAGCATCAGGAAACTTCAGCAACTGTTCCCCAAATTAAATATTATAGCCGTGGATATGAATATTGCCAAAATGTTAAAGGGCATTATTGTAATCAAAAATATGCCGTTTAGTCGACAAATTATTTTAGCGTAATTATAATTATGTAAATAATAGTGAAAATTTAATTAAAAGTTGCTTTTATTTTAGTATAAAACGATGTTTGGAAAGTGGGCTACATATTCATCATAAATATATCTATGATACTTACACTGGTATGATGGGAAAGGCTAATGCAGTACATATTCTCTATGAAAGAGTTTTCCAATTCAATGAATATTCTGTTCAAGATCAAACATTTAATTTAAATTTGGATGAAATGTTTAGAGTTGTATTTTTGCCATTATTAATAGGATACTGTCTATCAATAATGTGTATTTGTTTTGAACCCATATTTTAATATTTAATAAATGAATGAGAATATAATAAGTTTTATTGTAATCTATTTATTTAACATGATTTGAAAATGAGTTTTGTAAACTAAAATTATTATCATCTGTTTAGAGTAATATAAATATTTTAATAGTAAAATCTTTGTAATGATTTATGTAAATCTAATATTTATTTTAATAAACACATAATGTGAATTTTATTTAAACTATTTTTATTATGGTAAATATCAGAAAATATTACTACTTAAAAATTACTTATAACATAATAATTGTTGTTAAAATCAATGCAATATTATCTACTAATTGTTTTTATTTTTTAAAACCTTGTAGTGTAATCTCTAACTTAAATGTTTATGTTAAAATGACAGATATATAAAAATTATTCTCTGAAAATCAGTTTAAGTAGTTTAGTAGTATAATTCTGAACTGTTTTAAATAATTATTACAATTAATACATATAATTAGTTTGTTATTAGAAAACTATTTTAACAATTTAAATAACATTATTATTAACTTAATTGTGAAATATGTCTCGATTTGATTGTGTGGATAGTGTAGAGCCCATTGAGTTCTTTGCCTTACAGAGGGCTTATAGGGCCGACAATAATCACAATAAAGTGGACCTTATTATTGGCAGTATGTCCTCTCTCTCTCTCTCTCTCTCTCTCGACTGAATTTATTTAATTGAATCAATTGATAGCCTATCGATCGGACGAAGGAAAGCCATGGCTATTACCAGTGGTGCACAAAGTGGAGCAAACATTGGCCAATACTGATGGCTATAATCACGAATATCTGGGACAATTGGGTGACAATCGATTCTCAGAGTCTGTCACTAAACTACTCTTAGGAAACCAATGCAAAGCCATCGCTGAAAATAGAGTTAACAATTTATGTGAAAAATTATAAGCTATCATCAAATAATTGATCAACCATTGAATAGACATTTGGAGTGCAAACCCTATCGGGAACGGGAGCTCTAAGAGTTGGCGCAGATTTTTTGCGACATAATTGTGGTTTTAAAACAATCTATCTAACTTCACCCTGCTATCGTAGGCTAAACTTTATAAATTTATACAAATATATAAATAAATAATTTTTTTTAAATTTAATTATCGTTTGGTATCCGACTATGAGTGCTCCCGACCGAAACTCCTATAGGCGTGGATATCCATAACCCTGTCAGCACTCGCAGTCAACCTGAAGCTGCCGGAGTAACTCCTGAATGCACAAGCGCCGGCAGATTCTGTGATTCTACTGCACGCATGCGCTCACAACCCGACGGGAATGGATCCGACGGCCCAACAGTGGACAGCCATCGCCGATGTAATGGCTGAGCGAAAACTGTTCCCATTCTTCGACTGCGCCTATCAGGGCTTCGCCACCGGCGATGCGGACAGGGATGCCTATAGTGTCCGTTACTTCGTGGACAGGGGTTTTGAGTTGATATGCGCGCAATCCTTTGCCAAAAACTTTGGACTTTATAGTATGTATTGCTTGCAATTAATTTGCATTTTATCTGTTAATTGGTTTTATTTTTAATGTATTAATATAGACGAAAGGGTCGGTAATCTAACGTTTGTATTGAACACTACCGGCGCCTGTATTAATAGAATGAGGGAACAGCTGACTATATCTGTACGAGCCATGTATAGGTAAAATTGATGCCTTTATTCATTTTAAAACTGATAAATTAATTTTAAAGTGATTGTCTAAATTAAACAGTAGTCCACCGGCACATGGAGCTAGTGTTGTAACTAAAGTGCTCAATGATCCACAACTCTATGATGAATGGTATGGTATTTGTTATAACAAAGTTTATTTATTATATAATTTTTGTATAATTTTAATTTGTGTTTATAGGAAGGGGTGTATAAGACAAATGTCGGGTCGTATTAATGATATGAGAGCTAAGTTGAGACAAATGTTGGAGGGGTTGGGAACACCGGGAAAGTGGACACACATTACCCAACAGATAGGGATGTTTGCCTATACAGGACTCACGCTACCACAGGTGAAACATATGCGTGATTTCTATCACATATACCTACCAAACGACGGACGTATATGTGTGGCCGGACTCAACACCAATAATATTGAATACGTGGCCAAAGCTATCAATGAAACTATCGCTAAATTTCCTTAAAATCTGATTTAAAACTCCAGTAATTATCTTAAAGATAATAATTGAAT